GGGGAAATTGCCACCTAGAGGAAAATTTGCCAACACTTGAATGAGATAGAAATGCCCCTTTTAATAATGAACTTTTATGGATAAAATGGTCATTACATTATTTACCTAGGAAATAAAAAAACATGGGTAAGTAACTTACTAAAAAGTAAACGGGGCCTAAATAAAATTGGCATTCCCAAATGAGTTCGGCTTCAGTCAAGGCAAAGCCCGTTCGAGCAACCTTTACTGCCTTGCATTAAGAATATCTCCGTACTTGTGTGTTTTATTTCTTGGGGAGATCTTCCCAATGCAAGGTTGCAAAAGGCTATTAGAAGTGTGGTCACAGGTTTGCCTTAAAGGAAGTCAATCTCTTCCCAAATGGTTTCCAACCACCAATATAATAATTCTACTATTGATAACTTCCTTGGATAAGGTGGATTTGCTCCACACAACACATCACAGGCATGCATTGAGAACATCTCTCATTCATGGGAATTGAATACGTTTTTAATACATGGCTATGATGCGCTATGAGAATGGTGTGAGCCATGTTCTATGAGGAGCAGATCCGAAATCGGATGAGGTGTTCATGTTTAATTTGGTAAAACCCCCTCACAAGGTGTTTGTGTTTAATTTCCATGCCATGTCATCTCATATTATTATATTCTTTATTTTATTTTTATATTGGAAAACAAAATAACTCTCCATTTTTGCATCTTATCGCTTCCACTTTAATTTGCAAAAGTTCAGTTTAGAAGCAATACAAATACAACTATGTAGAGTGCAAAACCTTGTATTTTTTATGCATTTGCATTGTAGGTATTTGTATTTGTACTCTTTCCAAAGTAAGCTTCAGAGTAACAAAATGGAGGACAAAGATTCCATAGAACCAACCATATAGGATGTGAAAAGATGAAAAAAATGAAGGAAATCGAGTAAAAGGAGCAAAGTCTAGTATATGCAACTACAGTGAAGTTTGATATTTGGAACCTGATATCTGATATGACCTTCTACTCCCAATCTTGCCAAAGCCTTCACAAACTCCACCGCTTTCACTAATGGTGGGGATATGGAATTGACCCACTAAAACCCATCATCCCATTCCCAACATTCAATACTAATGGGGAAATTTAAGGTTACGTTGTTTGATTGCTTTGACATCTAACATCTAAAAGTGTAATAATTACATTAAGAGGTGTATTGGATTTGGTGAACTTTTTCTTTTCATCTAATTCATGTATGGAAGTTTTTGTTTGTTGTTCTAAATTCCGAAAATTGTCAAATAACCATTTTAACCCCATGTATGAAAGTTTTTGTTTGTCTATGTAATTCAATAAAAGATAGGTGTTTTGTTATGTGAATAAAAACATGTAGTTTGAGATAATCTACAATGTTGATTAAGAATAATATTTTTTTTAATTTTTAAGCAAAATATAAATTAATAATACTAATTATTTTAACATGTCATCAATTTAACCATAGCTAATACGTATTGATAAAAAATTAATGGATGAATTCAAAAATTAATAATGACAAAAATTAAAAGTAATATAAAAATATAAAACAAACACATAAGAGAACTAATATTCATGATAAGTAATTAATAAAAAATAATCTAATATTATTAAAATTAGTAAAAACATAAAAAGTAAAATTCCTACTTTTAATACAAATTAATAACAATTGTAATAGTATGATAAATATTACAGAGAAGTACATTGTAATGGCATACAGTTGATGAAATAGGTAGCACATAACACAGCATCTAACCAAAAACATTTTAGAACATTGATATAGATGAGTAATCCACAAGCCACTTCAAGCAAATGGCGGATTTTTTTTTCTACAACATTTTTTAGAGGAGTTTTGGCACAAGAGCTATAGACCCACACAAAACAAAGAACTCCGTGATATGACTATGGAAGTATTCTTTAACATTGTCAAACTAAAAAATTTGAATCTATCTGAAATTGGGTGAATATCATGTGTCAGAAATCTTTTACAATCTTTACTTCATCCCTAGACCTCAAGGAGTACACCCATATATATCTAAAATAGTCATCAATAAAGGTAATGGAATATTTATAGCCAAACTCAAATGGTAAAGTAACAAGGCCCCAAATATCAGAATAAACAATATGAAAAGGAAAATCAAATTTATTATTTCTTGAAGAAAAATGATTTCTACAATGTTACCTCAACTGACAAATTTGACATTTGAACTCAGACAGTAACACTGATTTAAATAAATCCGAAAGTAAGACATTTAGCAACTCAAAAGATAAATTACCCAAATGACTATGCCATAAGTAAACTTGACTCATACTAAACTGACTCGTAGACACACAATGACCGCAAGACTAGCTTTGTTCTCCAACATGTAGAGACCATCCACCATACGACCTCTATCATTATCTTCATTAAGTCCAAATCCAGTAGAACACAAGAAAAGGGGAAAAAGGTCACTAAATAGTTTAATGAATTTGTAATGCTACTAATAGAAAATAAGTTTATAGGTAATTTCGAAACATGTAATACATTAGAAAGGGTAAGTCTAAGAGGAAAGGTTATGGTTCCTTGACCAGCTATAGTGGAAAAAGAACCATCAGTCAATATCACTTTGTCCCTATCAGATAAAAGTTGATAGGACTGGAAACAATTTGACTTGCTTGTCATATGGTTTGAGGCTCCAGAGTCAATTATCTAAGGAGAATCAGATGAATAGGAAGACACATGGAAGACTGTGACAAGATTACCATTACTTGAAGTAGATGCAAAAGAAGTCGAGGCAAGAGGAGCATAATCCATCTGGCAGATTGCTCTTTCATGCAAGTCCAAGTGGTCACAACCCACATGAAAGTCTTCCTGATTGGAGGCAACATAGAAAGTAACAACCATGATATCACCATGTTGTTTTCTTGATCTCACCCATCATGCTTTACCCCCTAAGACTTTGGTTCTTTAGTTTTACCATTAATATAGCCTACCTTTATGTATAGTTTAATTCCCCTTAACCATTCTAGATAGTTAAGACCATCAAAAAGTATCACAGCCATGGGGAAATTCATGTCAAATCCCCCACTAACTCCACCTTGAATGGAGGACCCACTACATAGGATAAAATCCTCGGATGACATGTTATAAGATTTAGGTTTCTAGATCAGTTCTATTCAAAATCAGTCACAGTTCAACCACAATTCATTAACAGTTCAGTTCATAGTGGTTCAGTTCAGCCACTGTTCAATTACAATTCAGTCAATTCAGCCCCCAGTTCAGCCACAGTTCAATCACAGTTCAATCCCCAATTCAGCCCATAGTTCAATCCTCAATTCAATTCAGCCACAGTTCAGTTGAGTTCAATCCTCAATTCAGTCTCAGTCAAGTATAAATTTTAGGGATACCACACAAATCAGCTTGTTTGCACATTGCTGAAAGGCAGTTCAGAAACAAAAAGGGGAAATTCTGGAGTTAGCTGACTTTGTATGTACCCTTTCATCACTTTTCTTGGATACACAGCTACTAGAAAAGTTTCCAAGAAAGATAGCCAACCACTGTCTTACAGTTACAGGTCATTTAGACCTACACCGTCCAATTATCTGGGTAAAAAAATAAAATCAGGATCACACGATCCATGGTTCAAAGAGACCTAGCAGTTTCAGGTCATCTAGACCTCCAAAAACCCACTTACCTGGGTACAAGAGAGGATCACACGATCCACAAAAGAAAGATCTGCCTTTGCAGCATCAGATTTCCATTCCTTCAAGGGTTTCTTGGCACACGACCAAGGAAGAAGGGAAGAAGACTAGTAGAACCCCCTTCAGATTAGTCCAATCTATTTCTTAATCAGATTCGATCCACAAGGAGAAGCCAAAATAAAAAAGGAAGACTTATCACACTCTTTCTAATTTCAAAAAGCCTGCTTTGATACCATGTTTTCCAAGTTAGAGATATCAGAGAAGGAGAAGGAAAGGAAGAGAGGAGAGGAAGGGAGAAAGAGAAGAGAGAAGAAAAATTTTGGATTCAAAACATATGCTGGCAACGCCAGCTATTAGCTTTTATATTAGGGCATCCCAACTAATAATAAAAAATAAAAGGAATTACAAGAGTGCCCTTGCAGCACTACAGAACAGAAAAATAAATAAAAAACTGGGAGTAACTAACTGATTTCAACACCCTTGTTGCATGTTCTTTGATAATAATGATATTGTTTTAATTGATGAAACTAATGAATGATTAAATGTAAAATTAGGCTTATAGACAATGCCTTGAAAATTAATGTTATAAAATAAGGAAGATTAAAATGGAATATATGATATTTAAATTTAACAATAATAGGAATGCAAATCAGGGTACACTTGGAATATATGATACTTAAATTTAACAATAATAGGCACGGAGCACCCCCATTGACCATACCATGAAGAGTCTGCAATTCCATGGATTTGATCACACGCCTCCTTAGATTGGAGAGGAACAACAATAATGCAAGGAACTTAGTACAAACCAGAAACAATTCAGTTGTCTGCACTCTATAACATATCAATTATACACAATTTTTTTGCATTGGTATCATAGTATTCAATTCAACAAAAAACTAAGAAATATTCAGGTTAGGGGATACATGAGCCCCGAGTTGCCATTGCACTCTCTAGCATATCAAATTTCTACAATAATATATAAGGTCATTTGAATCACAAAAACTTTTATAATAAGATTCAGATAGATCATAACTCATAGAAGAATTTCTCTAATTAGATTCAGATAGATCATAGTATACTGCCTTCTCCGTCAAGTAAAATATATATGCACATGGCATCCTGTTGCAAATTAGGAATATCTCCCATACATATATGTTAAATTCATTGGAAAATGTTCCCATTTTCCATCATGCAGCTAGTATCCATTCCTTGCAGTGTGTGTGCAGAGTTTTTTCTTGCAGGGAATCCCGTTGCCTCTGTTAGTAATATATCAAGTTCCATTATATCAAACATTCGACAAGCTAGATCGAAAGAAAAAGGAAATAGCCATTAAAGAAAAACAATAGATAAATGTGCATTTCGATACCCTTTGCCAAAATCAAAATACCCTTCGCCACCACAAGAGTATACATGTATCTACAAGAAGATTTAAAACAAGCACCTGAATCTAAAGGAGAATAAAAAGATGAAGCAAAATAGATGTTCACCGTAAACATTTAATTTTGAGCATCCTCACCAACATTTGTCACTCTACCTTCATGGCTTAGCTTCTGAATTTCTGATGATGGAAACTGGTTGAGTCAACGATATTTACCAGCACATTCATGGCTCCTAACAGTGTGATGGTATTTATATCTGCATACCTTAATGGATCTTGATGACTGCAGCTATTCATCAACAAATGTAAGTTGTGCCTTTCATGTCATCACAGCAACTGATTGATGGAATTGTATATATATCTTGATGCTTTTTGATGGAAAAATGGTATCCGCACTGAATACATTCACGGCTTCTGATAAATGCAACTGCTTGATGGGATGACTGCAGACAAAAGCTGAAATTTCTTGTACTATGCATCTACAGCATAGTCCTAAAGTCTAATAAGTCAAAACCTATCTGGTACCTTTCGGTAAATTGATACTGGTTTTAATATACAGAAAGGCTTCTTCTTTAAAAGAACACCGGTTCAACCTTAATTCCAATCTTCTCTAACGGCCTACATAGTGTTTCTGTTCCTTTTAGTATAAGCTGATTTCTTGGTCCAGAAAAAAAGGAACACTTCCAAAACCTTGTTGAAAAAGATCACATAACGAAGACAATCCCCTTTGGGATTTGTACATCTCTGTCCTGAGTCCTGACCCCACTTTTCGTTTAACTAATATCCATCAGTACTTGGAGAGAACTTGGCAGTACACCATCATACCATCCTCTTGATAATTTATATAATGGAACTTGTACAGGATCAGATGATTCACCTGAAACTTCCTCGGGGCATCTATGTAGAAGACTTCTTCTGAATAGAGAGAAAAGTTTGTATATTCAATCCAATTGGGCATATTCGTGATGAAGGCCAAAGAACTGATGGATGACTGAAAATTAACATCATTAACCCAAGTCTGACATCTTTGCTAAATTGTTTCTATGATTGAAAAAGCATCCTATGCTGCAATTCTGTAATTCCGGCACTGTGTTTCTCCCTTTAAAGCATTACCTGCTACCTTCCTCCTAACACCCATGAAGTATCAACAATCAAAAAGAAAACTAAGAAGTATCCATATTTGAATCTTCTCGTTCACACTCTTAAAGTCAGTTTCTACCATATTTTCTTTCGTAATCCACTGTGCAAAAGGAGACCCTCGCAACAGTTATCAAATCAAAATAATCATAGCTGTACCTTTAATATCTTCAGGTCCCTTTTCCTACCATAACTAGTCTTGATTAAAATCAAAAGCTAGTTCTGGTAGCAGCATCTGTTTCAGTCTCTACAAGGGCAATGGTGATTGGCTGCCAGCCAGATTGATGAGGGATGATCCACTTTTTGTTGGTAATTGCCATATTCAAAATCTTGAGTACGTCACCCAAGACAAGATCTTTCAAGCACATGTTCCTCAAAATACTAGCTGCTTCATACCTGTTGGGAATGAAATAACAGAGTTGTGATCATAATTCATAAATACAACTCCAGAAAGTAAAAGTAATTCCAAGTATCTTCAAGAAAATACCTGCATTGAGAAGCCATGATTGCAGAACGTCCAACTGGAGAATATAGAAATTTCTGGATTCCATCCCATATTGGTTTTGGATATTGCTTAGGATTACCACCTAAAGGGTCAATGCACTTCCATAACCTCTCATTCTTACCAACATAATAATGTAATGCACCTAAAACTTGTTTGACAACCATTTGCTGTTCAATGGCATAGTCCAGGGCCTTCCTTACATCAGTGTTTCTGTGCTTCGGATCTCCATGTCGAATACAGTCACATATGTTTGCTTCAGTTGGCGCCATCATATCGTTTTTTAGGGTGTTCAAGGCAAGCAAGACAACCCCTATAAGACCTTGTACATATTCAGAAGGCTGTGGGCATCCTGGAGTCCCCCAGACTCCATTACCGGAGACAGCATTCGAACTCATTGCGGAGGATGAGGGAGGACACTCAGGTCCACAAGGAGGGTATCTACTACTCATATTGTCACTACAAAATGGAGGCGTTTTATGCAAAATGTGTCCATTTTGTAGCACATGATTTGGGGAACCCATCATAGAGTTAGGTCTTGGCTCTCCTCCATTTCGTTGCTGAAAACTAGGAGGGGTTTGGATGCTGTTGGTGTACTCAGATATATTTATCCTACCAATATCTTGCACATTTGTAGGAGGACCTGATGTAAAGGGGGGGCCATCAGGCATTGGTGGTACCTGATGAGAACCATAAGTACTAGGATTTGGTGGAAACAAATTACCAGGAGCTAAAGAAGGTTGCATGGGGATGTTGTTTGGCCTTGTCTGTTGAGGATATTGATTTTGGTAATTGATGGGAAAACTATTCCCAGGTATCCATGAAGAATCAGGGTTTCCTGGATGGTGTATAGGAGAAGGCCCCCTTGAGGGCGGTTTAGGCTTATTAGAACTAAAAAATTCATGAGGAGCTTCCTTAAAATGTTTAGGTTGTGTGTATCCAGAGGAGTGAGAATTTCCATTAGTCTGACTTTCTTGAATCCCAACAGGGGCACTTGATGCCCTTGATATGTTGGGTTGACTTGGATTCCTTCGATTTTGTTTCCCTTTATATTTACTATTATCACCACTCCATCCAGTAGTAGAGAACTTTTGACTTCCCAAAGACCAGCCTTCAGAAATTGAATCAGACAGCTTTACATTTAGGGGATCAACAATTGGCTTTTTTAAAACGTCTGAATTGGATATATTGTTATTATTACCAAGCTGTGGTGAACCACCATTTGGAAGCGGAGATCCTCCGGCAAGAAGACTGGTCCACAGCCATACACTCTTTGCTGCGGCAATAAGTGGTGCAGAAGCATTTTGAGGCTGTGCTAGAAGAATATTATATCTCCTCATACGCAATTGATGAAGAGCATTGGAGAAGTCTCGATCACCAGAGATGAGCAAATAATTTGCAGGCGCAGGATTATCGACAGCCCAAAACAGCATGTCCACGAGAATCTTCTTATCACTGGCATCTTTAACACCTGGGAATATTAATACAGAGATAATTAAATCGAAGTATACAATGCTGGATAATGTTTGTTAAGGGTAAAAAATCAGGTAAATTATGCTGGATAAGGAATACACGGAAAGAATTACTTGAGAAACAAGTTAAAAAGCAAAAACAAAAGAGAAACGACCGAGGAGATGAGATGGGCGCAGTAGTACAATAATAGACAACAGAAATCATGTGAAATTTCGAAACGATTACAGAAATTTCACGGATCAATCAGAAAGAACAGAGAGGCAAACAACAACGAAGAGAAACAAATAAAGAAGTATTAACAGATGAAGTCATAAATGAACAAATGAAATAGGGTTGAATTCGCGCTGATGGATAGAACCACATATAGAACAGAGTAATCGGAAGAAGAATTTCAGTTACATCTACAATCATCAACACAAGACGAAAATATACAAAATAACTCAGAAAACATAAAAAAGATCCCGTTCAGACCTCTATGACAAAGACAAACTAAAACCACTTCAATCGGGTTCCTACCACTGATTCACATAAAACTGAATGACCAATAGATAAAAAAGCCAATTAAAAGAAAACGAAATGATCTTGAAAGATAAATTTGCAGAAGGAAGGCAATCGAAGTTAAGGCTTCGCCACGGACGGATCGAATCATTGAAACAAGAAACGAAGCTAGGGTTTTGTGAGTATATACCAGCGGGAACATGATAGAGCGCTACGCCAGTACTGGAGAGAGCGTGCTGCACCGAAGCGGGGAGTCGATTAGTGTCGCCATAGGCAGAAATAGAAACGGGGCCACAGTAGTTCATCTTGGCCAGGGCAGAGCTTATGTTCTGGGCGATCGCGTGGGGATCGCAACCCTTAGGGACCTGGCAGTTCTCTATATCCCACCATACCGACGTCTTAGCCGATACGTATTGTGGCTCCGCTCGCACCACCTCCGTCGGCACCGCGCTGGAGACCGCCGGATATCCGCTTCCACCACCACCCATGGCTCGGTCGATCTATCAAAGGGGTCTCCACTGCCTTCTCTTTTGGGCGCAAGATGGCAGATTACTCCGGCTCTGCTTTCTCTCTCCCCCACTCCGCTGCTGTGGATGTTTCCTTCGCTCTTCTTTTTGAGCGTAAAGTCCGCCTCGGAAGTGGAGGATTAAAGGGACGTGAAGCGCCGATGAAATTACGAATATAGCCCTAAAATGCGGCAACTTCTGATTTCTTTCCTTTTTGAAAGGTCATAAATGCGTCTGTTGGGGGTGGGGATAGCGGATAGATAAAAGACTGAGGGTGGGACCGTAACGTAATCACCGGCGTCGGTCGTTACGACTTACGACTCATTTTCCTCTCTACTTCCCACCCAGTTCCCACCTGAATCCTGAGCCCTGAGGAGAGTCTGCCTCGTCCTGTGCACGGATGTCCTGCTGTGCTGTCCTCCTGTCCTATGGGTTTGGGCAAATGACGGACCCGGTGACCAACACAGGAGGAAACTGCTTGGGCTCTGGGTCTTTCTTATTGACGAAAATAACCCCCTGCCTGATTTGAATCTACCCCTTCCCTGAGTTCCCTCTCTTGTTTCGCTGCCCTTCGTTTCAATTTGAAACCCCTAATTTCCTATTCCCTATTCCGTAATACCCTAATCCCTATCATATATATATATATATATATATATATATATATATATATATATTTATATATTATTAAAATTAGTCCAGTCATGTCAGCAGTCCTCTCTTGCTTTAAATTCTCTTCTTAATTTTTTATTTTTATGATTTTTTTATTTTTTTAATTTTATATAATTACCCATTTAACCAATAAGAAAATCACATGCGCTTAACTATTTCTAGCAAGCATAAAGAAAGAGGGATTTGTTTTTTGATGTTTAGTTAAGTGGCATCACTTTCCCTCATTTCCTCCTAAATTGTCTCTAATTTTTATTTATCTCCTAAATTATCTCTAACTCCTATTTATTTCTTAAATTATCTCTAATTTAGTATAGAGATTCTCTCCTAAAGTATCTCTAATTCTTATTTATCCTCTCCCCCACTTTTTATCTATATCTATCTAAAGAAAGTTTCAAATAAAAAAAATTTAGAATTATTTAAATGTTATAAGGAAATTATATACTATATCTAAAATATTTATTAAAAATACAAAAAATCAATAGATTTAATAATATTCATATTATTAATAATTCAGTACTTTTACAAAATTTATCATAAAATTATGTAGTAACAAAATAAATTATAATTTTACAAACTATTCAATTTAATTGTTATTTAAATAATAAAAATTAACATTAAAAACAAAACATTATTTAAATATTTCAATAACTAAATATTAAATATAAAACATTAAAAATAGCTAAATAATATAACAAAATATTTAATATTACGTAATAACATTAAAATAAATAAAATTCAAATAATGGAAATTTTTAAATATTTTACATATTATTTAAATATTTAAATAACAAAATATTTAACATGGCAAAATTTTAAATAGTTAATAATAATTTAATATTTTAAAAAATTAATAATGAATTATGTAATATTAGTACAATTATAATTTATGGATTGTTAAATTTAATAAATAATTAATATTTTAAGAATTTAAATAACAATATTATTTCAATAACTAAATAATATTTTAAACAACTAATTTCACTTATATCAATTAATAATTATAGAAAATAACTATCAACAAAATTATATTTATTAGTAATAATTTTACAATAATAGTGTATATTCATTATATATTTATATATASTATAATTAATRTTTATTTTATTTTHAGTAATTATTTATTGTTTTTTATAAATATGCTTTCAATAATTATTTATAGATCTATTTTTATTTTGTTATTTAATAGAAATTTATCAATAATTATTGGATATTAAACAACTATTATTTAACTTTTGAAATTTAATTTATCGTATTTATTGTATTTTTGTTATAAATTTATTTTTAGTAATTATATATTTTTTATAACTTATTGATTAGTAATTATTAGAGATTAAACTATTATTTAAGATTACACTATTTATTGACTAATTTAGTATATTTTCAGTATTTATTATATTTTTGTAATTAGTGTATTTTTATTATATATCTATTATATTTTCATTATAAACTTATTTTCAATGTTTGTGTACGTTTGCTATAAATTTTCAATAATTATTGAATATTAAACTATCGTTATTTATTAGATACTAGACTATGAATTTAGTTGAAATTAAAAACGTTGATTGGTTTAGTTTAGTTGCAAGTTGTTTCACCAACCAAATCACTCTGGTCAAGTCCATAGTTTGTCAATTGAAACCTTGACCATTAGTGAAAACCCACCAACTCGGGTTGTATCGATTTGGGTTTATTTTTGGTTTAGTTTGTTTGTTCAAAAGATTTAGACTTAAAAATTAACTTTAAATTTCATAAATTACAATGATATTATTAAAAAATAAATTACAAAAATTAAATCTATGATATAAAATATTTTAGTAGATTAAGAAATATGGGAATTTTCCTACTTTCCCATATTAAAAAATTAAATTTAAAATATAAAATATTAATATATATTTATTAAACCAAAGCCAATCTAAAATACTAGAAAACCGACTAGCTCAGGTTGAGTTTGGTCGGATTGTTTATTAAAAAATTAAAATATAAAACAATTATATATTCTTATGTATTTCTATTGTTTAACTTTCGCTTAACAAAGCCCATGCATCGTACGGGTCCCCGTCACCATGCCTCTCCCTACTCCATTATCCCCTTCCCACCACTCCCATTAAGCAATGTCACCCAACTTCCTAAAAATATTCGTATAACCTCTCTTCCAAGGTATCTCATTTAAACCAATAGGAAAGTATCATGTTGCCCCGCTCCTTAATCAATTCCTAAAATGCATCCCCCCAATCTATATCCACTTTCCCTCATTTAAAATATTCATATTAATTAATAAATAGCTTTGAAAATTATTAGAATATTTTTGAAATTTTATGAAAATTTATTACATTTGATAGATTTTGGAAAACCATTGAAAAATTATGTAATTTTCATTGCAAATTATTGAAAATTATTAAAGATAAATGACTATGGGAAATGGAAAACTATAATTTGAACAAATAATTACACAAATCATTAAGATAAATTAGTATAGTATTGGAAAAAGGAAATTATTGGTTAGTTTATATTAAAAATTATAAGATAAATTAGTATAATTTTGTAAGTAACCATTTAAAAAGAAAATAAATTATTTAATAAATAAATAAATAAATTTGAATAAATTTTCAAAATTACACAAGTACAATAAATTTTTCAAAATTTTCATAAAATTATATTTTTGAATATTAAAGACAATTTAATGTACTTTTAGAAATTTACCATGTGGTTGGTACTCAATATATCCTTTTGATCATTTCTATCATCAAATTGAATATTGGGTTGACGGGGATAGTGTTTTCAAAACTGGATCAAACTAGATGGTTAGACCGGAAAAATTGGGAAACGGACAAAGTTTCACCTCAAAAATGCTTTTTGTCCAAAAACCGTTTATTTGGTTAGCAAACTGCTGACTTGGACGGTCGAACTGTCAACCCGGACACTAGGGATGAGGCGGGGATGGGGTAGAGTGTCTTGACTATGGGATAGGGAAAGGGATGGGATGCCCTGCCTTGAACCCACCCCGTTGTCATTCCTATATAATTGTTAATTATTAATGGAATTAATAAAAATTTTTGCTTTTATAATTATTTTTATTTATTTAAAGTTAATCTAAATTTCATTTAAAAATAATAAAAATTATTAAAAATACTATAAAATATTAATAAAACTAAATTTATTAAAAAATATTTGTTCATATTCAATTAACAATAATTATTTTTATAAATCAATATTAAATAAAAAATAAAATTATTAAATCTTTTAGATTTTCCCGTGCATTGCACGGATCCCTAGTTATATTTACAACAAAGTCCATCCATCCCTTAATTACCCTTTTCTTTTTTTTTTGGTATTTTTGATGGTAGATATTAGATACGTCCGACGGTCCGAGTGAATCCCCCCATCGGGGGCGTTTGAAACTTTGAATATCGCAACATTACACTAATAACCCCTCTAACACATCCGAATCTGTCTTTCTGTTGAAATTACCAAATATAAGCCTGCAACCCACCCCTCAATTGACCATCTACCTTAAGGTTGAGTGGCCGAAGAAGTTAATTTATCAAAATACCTACTCAAGAATCATATGCGCAAGAGGACATAATTTGAAAATGACCAAAATAGGCAAGATAATTCACTGTTTCTCTTCGAAAAAACCTGTTGAAGTTGAAGGGAAGGGAATTTTTGTTAAATTTCTTTCTATGTTCAAAGTGCAATAGAAAACAAAAAAAAAAAAAAATCTATAAAAATTTGGGGGAATTTAAAAATATTGTTCGAGAAAAAGGTAATTTAGGGATTTAGAAATACTTAAACAGCGACATGAAAATCTTCTTCAAAATTAACCGTCAAGAAAAGGGTTTTATCCAAATTTAAGAATAAAAGGATCTTTGTTGCAAATGAAAGTTTAGAGGATAATTGCCACTATCTAAAAGTATAGGACAAGGTTTTTAAAACTGAATCGGGCAAAAAATCATTCTGGATTCAGTTCCCGGGTCAAATAATTTGGCTATTCGGTCCAAACAAATGACCTGCTTTGAAAAAAATTTGAAATAAAAAACAAAAAATAACAAAAAACCATTGCTCAAGTCGATCGTTTAACCACGAAGATCAGCGATTGACTGACCAAATCAATGATTTTTGACTAAAAAGCAATTTTGACTCCCATTTTTCGGTCCGACCATCCGATCCAGTCCAATTTTAGAAACACTGGTAGTCTGGTATAGGATAATAATTTGCAATTTACCCCTCAATAAAATGATTAATCGTTACTCCATGACGAACACGAAAAAAAGTACATGGTTTACTCATTAGTCATTATTGTACAATAATTGTTTAATTAATGCGGATGCGGGTAGAGAGGATGATACCTGCCTTGCAGATGCAGTTGAGTTGAGAGGAGGACCGGTCCAAAATTTTCTCTCTCTTGCACGTGCCCTTTGTTTAATTTGTTCTATTTTATGTTGAGTGTAAGGAGGTTGTTTCCAAGTAATTTCCT